CTAAATGTGATTTAACCGGCCGTGAAAGCCTTCATAGTCTGATAATTTTCATGAACTTAACACGTTTTGCGCAGCTTGGTAACACAGCTCGAAAGTTAATTAATTTGAAAGTGCTTAATTTGAAGTATTCTTTAAGAAAAACAAAAAAAACGAAAAGTTCAGAGGGACTCAAACGACACGCCCACCCAGCATGTGCAAAATACCGCCGGATCAGCAAACGTGCGATTATTAGGCCCTGTACAAATGGATATATGTTTCGGTTAATTTTACCCCTGAGAAATTCCAAGGCTGTTTTCTCAAATGGTGTATAGACGTCCTGGACCTCAATACAAGAAAGACAGGTTTCTATGGTTCCTGTGTAGCTCTTAACATTCGGCTCGGCATATTTACGTGCGCATCCAATGCAAATGGTACCATGATCCTTCTGGAATTGCCGAGAACCATTTTGAGTTGTTAGTCAAGACGTACAGCAACTTACTAGTATGTTCTGCCAGATACACATTTTGCACACACACGGACAAAAAAAGTAATAGAGCGATTCCATTAACAGCCGCCTATCCGCTAATGTTAAAAGCGGACGAATTGGGTGATAGCAGACGGTAATCTCTTCATTTGCTGCGATGGTGGTTAGCGCTCTGACTAGAAACTGGTCACCGCAGCTCCTACAACGCAAGCACTGTGCAACGGAATGTAGTTATGGAAAACACCGAATCAAACATACATGATGACTGCATTTGGATAACAAGAATGATTGAGCAGGGCAATCGTTGGACAGATCGCCTTTCCAGTCACAATCCGAGAAAGTAACGGCTCTTGTTCGATGTGGTGGCTCTTAAGATACGTACAATTCATCTGCGCTTGGAAATAATGCCTCACTAGCAGTCCGCCTACCAAAAAAATGCCCACAGTCTTATCGAAGTCATCGAAGAAGTTGGTGCGCGTCATCAGGTAGACTACGGTTCTGGCCGATTTCTACAACAGATCATTAATTAGTCCAGCAATAAAACCCACATTGCTTCCTTAGTCGTATTGTTGYCGCTCACCCTTAAAACCTCATATACTTTCATTATGGGGATTCGATAAAAATGCGATATCAGTCTTTGGACGAAAGGATAATTATTGCCATATGAATTTCTGCCCCACTTTCGATTTTTCTTCGGTAGCTGGCTCTGGAAGCCGTTCTGGGCTCCGTATAAAACCATCCGGAACGCAATGTAACTATAAAAAAAACTATCTGTGACTTTAATTTATATTTCTCTGATGTAGAAGCTCGCTCAAGTTGTTTACGTTTCAAAAGCTGGATCATATCCTTTAAGCATATCCTTAAGCACAAAACAGGAAAAAAAGGTAATTCAAAAAATATGTATATCTACTTGTCCCGCGCTTTGCTAGTTGGAACATATCCACTCGTCCATCTTGCATCTCTCATAGAATCTCATGTGTGCGAAGGAGAAGCCCGATGCCAGCTACGGCCCTGAATGGAATACTCAGTTTCATTGAATTAATTTGAATTAAAATAGACTCGAAGCACACGGCGCTCTGAAGATGATTGCCATACCCGATAGCGAAACGTTAGGATTAAATTCATACCGACGAGGGAATAGGAACCGGGAAAACACCAGTGTGCATCTGCTGTTTTTCCTCAATCTCCACAAATAACTATGGAAAAATATTTTTCGAAATTGAACCAAATTCACAGGGTTCGTGAGGGCAGGTCTAAAACATCGCTAAATTCCGAGTTTCAAAATCTCGCCTACTTGTTTGACAATGAGCTTAGAAGACGACTGTGGGCACAGCAAAAACCGCAGAAAAACTTCACAAGTGTCGCAATTAATAATTTTTATCGAACTGGACCAAATTCAGAACTTTTGTTAAAGAAGATGTAGATGATCGATATCTCAAATTTTCACTCAGAAATCTGGTCTAGTTGTGTCAGAATGAGCCAATTCTTCAAATGCCACTATGAATTGTAAACACGTCCTTCTCCCAAATTGAAGCAAATTCACATCATTCGGCAAATTCGGCCTGTTTTTTTCAGATTCAGCATTAGAATAAGATGGTGCAAAAATAGAAAACCGCAGAAAGACGTGTTCAACTTTCGGACTTAATAAGCATAATTCCGGACTAACGCAAAGCAACTTTTCACCTTATCGAATCATTTCTACCTCAGATACACCTAAACCCGCCAAAAAATGCACATTTTGAAAAGTGTTATCACTTGCCTGAAATCAGTGTTCTTCAAATCCCAAAAGTGTCTTTGCAGACCTTCACACTCATACTGGTGGTAGTGTATGCGCGCAGTTTCGCG